CCATAGCTGCTCCAACTCCTCCTGTAATTTGTTTGGTTCATAGTAGAACACTGGTTACGGCAGGGATTATTGTTGGTGGATTGTTATTATTATGCTTTTTTTTTTGTTTTTTGAAATTTTTTATTTTTTTGGTTGGATTTTTTGAGACCGGTTTTGCACAGAGCTTTTAATGCCCTACTGTCTTTTACTTTTTCACAAGAATTTTTGCTAGAATTTATGTTTTGCTAGAGGAGAATGCTAAAAAGATTGTTGCTTTAAGAACGATCTCTCAAATTCACTTCGTTAGCAAATATTTCCATTGTTTACTTGTTTTGTTTGTTTACCTATCAACTACCTACACATTTGCATGATAATAATTAGGGTTTTTTCTCGGAAATGCAAGGGGTTTCAAGTATTTAAGTGTTTTTCCAAGTATTTGGGTGTTTCTAGCAATTTTTAAGGTATTTAATATATGTGGTTTTTCCTCGAAAATGCAACGAATTTCAAGTATTTAAGTGTTTCTAACAATTTTTAAAATATTTAATATATGTGGTTTTTCTTCGGAAATGCGAGGAGTTCAAGTATTCAAGTGTTTCCAATAACTTTTAAAGTATTTAATATATGTGGTTTTTCCTCAGAAATGCAAGGAGTTCCAAGTATTTAAGTGTTTCTAGCAATTTTTTAAAGTGTTTAATATATGTGGTTTTTCCTCGGAAATGCAACAAATTTCAAGTATTTAAGTGTTTCTATTAACTTTTTAAGTATTTAATTTCAAATATTTATGGAATAATCCCCTGATTAATTGTTTGTTGTTGACCAAATTACTCCATACACACACTCCGAAGCACCATCATGCATCGTAAGATCGAAGAAGGCCCTGGCATAGCTTCACCGGGGTGATTAGGAGCATCCCAGTAACTGATAAATAGAACGATTCCCCGGACAGACAGTCCCTGATATCATTAAATATCGCAGTAGTAACCACCCGTAATTTGTATTCCTTCGTACTGCCCTTGCACCTTCTGATGACATTTGTTTTGTTTTGTATGCAGACAAATCTTACTTTCGATGAATATAATAAGCCTCTGTACTGCCTCTGATACTTTGTAGCAGTTTCTCAGTTTGTCTGGGGTTTTTCAGGTAGGCGATGGTCTCGATATACTGGAAAAAAACGCAATGGTAAAAAAGTGGCGTCGCACAACAGCACTGCGAACGCAGAAGGACGAGGATGAGGAACGGCAAAAGATAATAATGGAAATGACTGCAAAACCGGCTGCAAAAGGTAAACTCTTAAACAGCTACTCCATTTGATGTCTTCCCAGAGATTACTCTAAACGTTGCTGCTTTAAAATTTTTTTTTTTATGCCTTGATGATATGATCAGTTGCTATTCCATCACTACCTTCCATGCCTT